CTGTTCTTAACTTAAGATTATTTTTGAAACCAGAAATGAGTGCTATAATTAATTAAATATTATTTTGAAATTATTATTTTTTATTATTTTTCCAAATAAGTGCATTCTTTTAAATGTCTTACATTTATTAACTAATGTAATTTTTATAAGCAATATATGGGTTATATGCTAGTATTACCATATTTTACAGATGAGGAAACTGAGGCACAGAGTTCAGGTAAATTGCCTGAAGTCACACTGTTAGTAAGTGACAGAGCCAGGATTTGAACCCACAGTATGGCTCTGGAATACTGGGTCTTTTTCTATCTCTAGGATTTCCTCTAGTATTGAAAATGATTCATGGACCTCAATATGTATTTTCCAATTCTATCATAATTTTATTGTTAGTTGTCTTTGTAAAAAAAAAAAGGTGGCAATGAAGTTATTTGACCAAGTTAATGACAAACGAATATAAATTATTTTCCCTGTTAAAAAAATAGCATCAGTAAAATTAGTTGATCAAACTTCAAAGTAAATCATAGCTGTTCTTATTCAAGTTATTTTCATAAATTAATCTTGACTCCACAAATTCATTTCTTAGACTTCTTTTTTTTTTCCAGGACTCAAAAGAACAATATCTCTTTTTTATTCTCACCAAAGCTAGGGTTATAATGGATGAATGAAAGCAGTTTTTCCAATTTCTTTGACGTGTTCTGACTTTGGCCACAGTTTTTGCTTTATGCTCCCTTCCTCCTTTGATCAGGGACAGTGATGCTTTTGTTCTCTGAAGTCCAAAAAATATGAAAGAAGGGCTGGGGGTATAGTTCGGTGGTAGAGTGCTTGTCTACCATGTGAAAGACCCTGAGTTCAATCCCCAGTGCTACAAACAAACAAAAAAGTATTATAGAAACAAAAAAGGAAATAAACAATTAATACTCCCAACTACTCCTATCAACATGTATGAACAATGTCTTAAACTCTTGTTGGCTCCATAAGCAATAAGTGACAATAACCGAAAAATGCACTTTCATAAGTAAGTGTAAATCTAGATCATCTAAAATTCAGAATGTAATTGAAATTACTTTCAGCTTTCTAGAGGTTGGCAATAGAAAATTATGTTGGTACTTGGTGATCTTTCAAGATGCTTGTTCTATTTTTCCTCTTTCATATTTTTTATATATTGACTGACATCTGACAATAGCTTCACTAAGCATGAGTTTGTGCAAAAGAGAGTATTGCATTTACTACAAGATAATCATCCTCTGAGACTTGTTCCGCTTACCATCACCCAGGGAAGTCACAATTTTTTTTGTATGTATACAAGGTATAGTGATATTTAATTCACAGATTTAATCATCATTATCTTTATGATCATTAGGTCTGTGATAATGATAATATCACACATTATCACAGTCATAATTATATGAAGTTTTTGTGTATTTGCCATTTATTATAATTCACTATCTAGTGATCTTTTTAAAAGAAATCATTGCTAGATACGTAAGAAAATGCCATTGAATCCCATAATATTAGTTTAAGTCTCAAATATATCCATGAATTAACAAATATAGCTTTCCATGTCTTCGGCAAATGTATATGAAATAGATAGTATTATCTATTGTATAAATATGGGATTTAGTTTAGCTCTGTGAGACAAAAGGGCAGAACAAGAAAGCTGATATAAGCAGAAGGATTTAAAATAGTCTCAGGAGCAGGGCCAAGGGTGTTTGTAATGCTCTCTGTCACCAAAGAAAATAGAGTAGAATGGACCATAAAAATGAAAACATCAGATTAGAGTAAGAAGAAATTGAATAAAGGCAACAGGATTCAGGGATGTGAAAGGGAGTCTGAGAACTATTGCTTTGATGTAGAATGCAGTGGAACCAAATAAAAAATGAAAATGCGTAGGTTGGAAAGAAGATATTTTTAGGAATTTAGATCAAGAATTGAGTTTGTTGACAGAACGGTATTTGGAAACATACATAAATCTCCCTCATTCAATTTCATGTTTGCAGAAGCACAGCAGGAAAACTTAAAAAATAGAAATGCAGAGGTGTTAGTGGGAGGCTCTAAGGTTCTTACCTGAGAGACTACCACTTCCCATGCTCTTTAGTTTTTGTTTAATTTTACTTCAAAATGGAATTTAGACAAATTGTCTATGTAATACAGACATGTTTTAGAAAAAAAAACAAACAATATTTGCCCCTTATTGATGTCATAGTTTCATGGTGAACCAAGCTTAGCTTCCCTGTGTGTTTGAACCATTGTCCTGCAAAGTGGTCCTGAAGATGAGGATGCAGCCAGGCAGGGTGGACAGCAGGGAAGATGTCTCTGGAACTCTTAAGAAGAGTCATGCCAGGGGGTGAGTGTGGGGGGGTGATGGTGGCACACACCTGTAATCCTAGCAGCTCAGGAGGCTGAGGCAGGAGGATTGAGAGTTCAAAGCCAGACTCAGCAATGGTGAGGTGCTAAGCAGCTCAGTGAGACTCTGTCTCTAAATGAAATGCAAAGAAGGGCTGGGGATATGGCTCAGTGGTTGAGTACCCCTGAGTTCAATCCTGGCACCAAAAACCAGCAAAAAAAGGAGTCCTGATCCACAATCCACTCTAATATTTGAAAGTAAGAAAGCACAAGCAAGAGAACAGTCTCAGTTTTTTTAAGCAAATAAGAACATTTAATATTTATATGAAAATATAAATTAAATATTTAAATTATCGAATACATATAAAATATTAAATACACATATTATAGCTGGACTAGTTATTACAGTAGAAAGACCATAAAGAAATAGAACAACAGATAAAGAAACAGAATAGAGTCCATACCCCAGATACCATTCATGGGTCCTCTTTAGTCTCTATGTCCTGTTTCTTCTCTAATCAGCAAGCCAAATAGTAAAAGAATGCATAACCATTGTTTCTGTCTTTGCTTTTTCAAAGACATTCTTTTATTTCTCTGGCTGCTTTTAAGATTTTTCTCTTTGTTTTTGGATTTCAGTGTTTTTATTATTATGTATCTCTGGGATTTTTCAGTTTATTTGTCCTTGGAGTTTATAGAGTTTCTTCCATCTTTATGTCTTGAGTCAGTTTTATACATTCTTAATCATAGTACTTTTAAATATTGCTTCTGCTTTATTCCCTCTCTTCTTTTTCAGAACTTTAATAACAAGGATTAGAGTTTTTCATGATATCTTAAATTATCTGCTCTAGTTTCCACCTTTGTATGTGTCTTTACTTCATCTGAATATTTTCTTCTGACATATATTCTGATTTTCTAATTTTCTACCCAGTTGAATGATTTCCATTGAAGTGTTATCCTGGTTAATGTATTCTTTAGTTCCAGAATTTCCATTTATTCTGAAGTTTCCAATTCTCTGTTAGAGTACCTAGTCTCATGCATGTCTTATTTCCTTGAACATTAGCCTGATTCTCCTGAACTGTGTTTCTGTTATCTATTGTTTCTCTGAATTTGTGGTCATGTCATCTTGGCACCTCAAGTGCGTGATTGTTTAGGAATCCATAACAGCCATTGACTGGAAAATTGTAAAAACAACTGAAGCCTAAAATTCTGTCTATTCTCAGTGAAGATTAACCTTGGTGGCTGAAAGTTCTAGAGCCACAGGATCACATAAATCCCATTCATTGATTGAGAGATTTAAAGTTAGGCCTTTGTCTCTGCAAGACTGGCCTATTTCTCATTTACTTCTCCTTTTGTCAAGAACATTTGGGGTAAAATGGATTAATGTTTATGGCATGAAACATTAATATAAAGCACCCGACCTAGTGCTTATATGCAGTTTATGCTATATACACGTATACTTAAAATACTATGCTTAAGAAATTTTAGTAATCTTCAGAGTCAGTTGACATGGGTTAAGGTTATAACTTAACTGTGAATTTATTTCATCACTCTGTGTGGGTTATTGAGCTCCTTCAAGTTCAGTTCCTTCATTTGTAAAATGAAGACATTTGATGAGATGACTTCTGAGATCTCTTATTCCTTCAAATTTTATGACTGTGCTTAAATAGAACTGCAGACTCATGACTGCCCTCTTCCTCACCCAATTCTCCAAAAACATTTGCTAAGAAAATGTATTATGGGATATACCATTGGGACTTTCCTATTACTTATAAGGCTGCAGGCAGAGGAGTTTGGGTGAATAGCTTAATGGAGTTATCATCCCTTCATGTTCTTTAGATCATCAAGTTATTAAAGCAAATATTGAATGGCATGCTTGATGTGGTTGCTATTACTTGATTCGAAAAACATTCATCAACAGATTTTTTGGGGGATAAAAGAGCAAGAGATATTTCTTAATGGTTAAGGCCATATTTGTCTCTATTGTGAACAGTGTATCATTGCCTTTTACATCTTCCATACTTTTTTAGTAATGAGAAAATGAAAATCTCATTTTGAAACATAATCTGTTAAATACTCAGTTAAAATGATGAATTAAATGTAATTATAATGTATTCAAAATTATTTTAGATTCTATTTTATCTTCTTTGTGTACAGATGTATAATCTATTTATTCATCTATGACATCTACATGAAGAGTTCTCTATAGCTCATAGTCAAGACATTCTAATTCCATTGCATTCTTTAGAGCATGACATGCAGAAATATCAAATTAGTGTACATATTAATTTTTTCATTTTGACTATGTTTAAAATCTCACTATTTTTTTCCTCATCTTAGCTATATTAAGTACATCATAACCAAATAAAGGTAGACACCAAGTCACTAATGCCTACTGCTTTTAATTTTTAAGAGAAATAGCCACAATAAAATCTGAATTAGAACTTGGATATATCACTCATAATCTCTTGATAGTGTTCATAGCTTTTAAAACTATATATCTAAGAAAAAATTTTGGTTTATTTTAGACATGTAATCCAAGAATCTGAAGAATTTCTTTACCTTAAGCAATTTGAATAAATGTGACATTGTGGGTTTGTGGGTTTGGATGGTCTCATTGGCCTCAAAGGGAATCCCTCTTTCTCCTTCATCTGCTTGTTGAGGCATTTCAGGAGACAAGGAGAGGCTGCTGATCACCAGAAGCACAGCCCCACCCATCTGGAAGAGCCCCCCAAATATCCTAGAGATTCCATATAAGCAGCAACATGGAAAAGAAGCCAGTATTGCCAAGGTGATCTGGATTCAGGAATAAATGGAAAAGGCCTTCAATCAAAAAGTATGTCAAATTTATAACATGTAGTCTTGTTTGTTGTCTTTGCAGAATTTGATATGTTGTTAGAGTTTACTTGACTCCTTCCTCCTCCAGGTCTGAATCATCGCTAATGTTTACTAAAGGAAAATGTGTTCCTACCCCTCAATCTCAAGAAAAATTGCTGGATATTTTTTCAGTCTTGAAGAAAAGACAGTGTCACAGTGGAGGAACTAGATGGCTTAAATTATTTTTTTGTTCTTTTTCCTGGATATTAAGTTTTATGTTGTGGACTTGTTCTTCAATTTACTGGCTATTTGATGTCAGTCAATTTTCAATCACTCTTCACCACAGTTTCCTAATCAATGAAACTGAAATAATAACAGTATCTATAAATACTAGACAGTTTTTAGTGATTAGTGTGATTAAGATTTTAAATGAATATGCTGAAATAAACTTATACCTTTCTACCTGGTGACTACCTGATACAAAATGCCTGTTTGGTAGGTAAAGAACAGTTACATCTGCCTAGGTGATTACTGTTCAGTTTAGGATTGAACTGAGTGCTGTGGAAAGTGAAAATATGGTCCTTACTTGGACATCTTAAATTTAGTTATGTACATACCAAATATACAGTAGCATATAAAATGTAGTGTTCAGTTGTAAATACTTATTGAGTTATACATTTAAGATATGTCCTTTGTATGCAGATTATTAATGACCAAAAAGTACAGCAACAAAATAAACAATTGTTATAACAATAATGTGGGGTGTGAAAACATAAAGATCTGTAGCTTACTTGAAAATAAGAGTTGAAATTAATAGCTTTCTATTTTTGCATCACCACACTGATTTAAAAAAAGGTAGAAATCATCACAAAGCACCACTTAATCTGTCTATCTTTGTAAAATTGGAATTGGTTCCTAAACTAGATGAAAATATATGTCTATGATAATTAAAATAATTCAATTGCTCTGTGTCTCTACACTGTTTAAACATGGCTGCATTAAGGGAACATGATATCCTAGACAGTTTTCAAGAAATAAATCTTACAAAGGAGTTTGTTAAGTTAATCTATATATCCACCAAAAGCAAGAAAGAGTTTTCCACTAAGGCTAGCAGAAAAACCCTGGGATGAAATACCTGAAGCTTTTCTTATTGTGTTCCCATTCCTGAACCAAGTAATGGAGATGGAGCTCTCTCACTGCCTGGCTTGTAGTGTCAGTGAATGATTGACATAGTACAGGGACTGACAGTCCTCAAGACAACATGTTTTAGGAGAGATTGGTTCTTTGAAAGAAATGAATTTAGGCAGACAATTCACAACTTTTAACAGAGTGTGTATGTAAAGAAGTTTGAACATCTGTTGAATTATTTTATCAATTTAAAGTGGAGAGGGGGTGGGGGAAACTGATTTAAAAATGAAACATATGGATGTGCATCTATAGCAAGGCTGGATTTATTTATCCAGAGGGCCAACACTAAAGGAAGGAATCTAGGGTAGCTTCTAGATAGTCCAATTTGGGTGACTTGGAGGACAGTGGTGACACTCTTTTTGAAAAGGAGACAAAGACAAGTAGAGGTGGAAGAGAAGATAATGAGTTCAGTTTGGACATGTTGAATTGTAGAAAATAATAATGGGTTGGAAAAACATAAGTAAAAGCACATTGTACAGTTTTTAAAATACTAGATTCTTTCAACAGATACATGATTTACATAATTGAAAACATTTACTGAAGGAAAAGAAAGAAGGGAAAAAAGTATTCAGTGAATTTCTTCTGGCAAAACAAGTTTATTGTATACTTTATTTGGATAACTGAAGCAGCTCTTCCACTGTATTTTATGATTACTAAGAATATCTGTTTAAAGAATATAATTTTTCCACTTAAAAATAATTCGTACTTATTAGAGGTAATTCAGAAAAGATGGAATAAAACAATATACACCATGTACAACAATGAGTATATCTGGCTCAGTCCCTCTTCCCTTAAATGTTTTTAGTTGTTATAAATAATATTTGTTATTATAAAAACCTCTAACAGTACAGAAAAAGAGTTAATATTACTTAAATCTCATTACATTGAGATAGCCTCTATTTGCATTTTGATTGTTTTTATTCATAAATTTATTTAAATGGGGTTGTATAACTTATGCTCTTTTTATCATGTACATCTCTTTAAAATAATTAGTTATATGTTTTCCTTGTTTCTCCCTTTATTTCTTAATCCTTTCTAAAAGACATCCTAGATTAATGATGTGTATATGTGTATGTGTATATACACACAAAAAAACCCTCTGTCATTATTTAAAATTTTTTTAAGGGCTGGGAATACAGTTTAGTGGTAGAGCACTTGCCTAGGAGCACAAAACCCTGGGTTTGGTCTTCAGCATCCCAAAATGAAAAAGAAAAAAAAAAAGGAAAATCAATTTAAATATGAGAATCATATACACTTTTCTATGTCTAACTTTGCCCCTTAATAATACCTTGAGAGCCCCTTCCAAATCAGTGGTCTTAGGTATCATGTAAGAACACCTCTTCTATTTAAGTGTAACTTCCCTAAAAGTTGGGGCATTTTTGTTTCTGTAACACCTAATGTTTTACCACATATAGCAGAGACTTAGAATGAATAGGCTGAGATTATTCCTATTTTAAAACCAGGCTATTGCAAAGATTTGGACTGAACAATTTGCCACAGTACATTTATGCAAAGTACTAAGTGACAGACCCCATGAGGTTAAAGTAATATTATTATTTCCATTTCACATATGACAAAATAAAATGCATAGACTTTAAATTACTTTTCCAAGAGCATAAAACTTGTAGACTATAAGATAATGCACCCTGGTCTTACAAATTCCAACCAAATGTGTTATGCCTTGTGTTTTGTAAAGTAAGTGGCAATTCAGATAAGATGAACATGTCCAACACATATCAGAGAGTCATTCGATCTTGAGGACTCATACTATGATCGTTGCCTGGACTTTGCATATGTTGCTCATGGTCACAGTTTCCCCTTTAGAATCTTTTAGGTTGTATAGTAGACGTGAATTTTCACATGTTCTTTAGAGAAGAGATGAGTAAAGACACAATGAGGTTATTTTATCAGATGCTATTCAAGAAGTCAATAAAGAGAAGCCACAGACAAAATTTTCAGGCTAGAATTTTGTCTCCCACCAAAACCTGAATTCAAAAAACACCCAGAATTTAGGTTCTGTTATAAAAGTGAATCTCAGCACTTGTACTTTGTTCATTTTGACTTTCAGGAGAAGAAAAGGAGGAAACGTGACATGGTGTTTCTATGCAGTGGGTGCATAGCTGGGGATGCAGAGCTAAGCTGTGATTCTCCTGAGCAGGGTGTGCTGCACAGATGATCTGCACCAGAATGTCCAGGAGAGCCATGGAAAGGCATAGCATGGGTTCACCCACTGAATCAGAATCTGGGAGCTGGGGCTGGAATTTGGGGGATGAAGTCTGGGATGGATTTTTAATAAGCATGCCAGACCACTTTTGCTAATACCACAGGACCCTCATATGCATCTTGGCTTATGGGAAAAGAGACCACTTTTAGGTAACTTACCCAAAACTGGGCTCTTGAGAAGTTACTTAAAATCCCTGATTCTCAGTTTCTACATCTACAAAATGGGAATAAATGCATTTATGAACACATAGGGCTATGATAAGAATTAAAAGTAATATATGTAAATATTCTGGCTCTTAATAATTATTAACTATAAATGGTATGAAGATCAAATTAATCATGAGAGAGAGGGCTTAGGAGGATATTTCAGAGAACAAGAATCTGATAAACTTTATGTAGCCCTCAGTTTGCAAAATATTTTGATGGAAGAAGGTTAGGAAATATGATAGGCAGTGACTAAACTCAAATAAAGGTCAAGATGTTAACAGATTCTGAGAATCACCATTCTTCAGAAGCAAACAAATAGGTACCCACATAGGACACAGACCCAGGCAAAGGCATGGAGCAGAGATGGGCAGTTGTGAAATACATGCAGATGGTTGGTACTATTGAGACACTGGTGATAAAACTATCAAACTATGTTGAGTCAGGTGCCAAATGGTGAAACAGTGATGCCAAGAAAAACTGGAAAACAGCAACACAAATATAGACCTTTAGAGAATATTAGAATGTGCCAAGTTAAAAGAATACAGAACTTTGTAAATTACGCCTTTGTAAATGCATGTGATGGAAAAATTCATACATTTTTTTTTCTAAAGTAAAACAAACAAAAAATCAAATCAATACAAAGTGGGAAATTTGTATCAGAAATACTTCGTAGATTTGATTAGAGATAAGTCACAGTCTCTCTTAGCTTTAGAAACCTCAACTATGAAAAGAACAAGGAATTGCCTCACAAGTTCTGTTTCAGTGGGAAAATTCCTTGATCCTACATTAACACAATAAGATGCTGGCTTTAGCCTTATTTGGTCTAAGTTCCATCTGAATTAGGAACCTTAACAAAATAGCATTTCCATTAGTAGACTTTCTGTGTTGTGCATCTTGCCTTATGTAATGTTATGTATTGTTCCTTCATTCAAAGACAAGTTATTAGTGGGAGGAAAATAACAGTTACTGTTTATTAAGTGCTTAGCTTGAGCTAAGCACTCAATCAAATCCTTTACAAATTTGGACCTCACAAGAATTCTGGAAGGTAAATAACTATTATGATGCCTATTTTTTTCCTTAGGAGAAAATAGAAGAGCGGAATTCAGAATCAACAAGCTGGTTGTAGACAGGACCCCATGCCTTAATCTATGTTGCCATATTGAGAGGGATAAGAGGCACTCCCTGTTGGGGGTGAATTTAGAAAGGAGCTTTTTATTCTGTAGATGATAGAGGAGTGCTCCTTGGGTTAGATTCTGTTTTATATCCACTTCTGAGTATGTTCTACTTTCTATTCCAGGAATCATCTCCTCAGAGACCCAAACATTGACATTACAGCCACAGAATGAGCCATCTGTCACTGGGCATTTTGGCTACAAGCTTTATTTTGAATCCAGAAGGAGAGAAAAGGAACTGACAGGGGTTTTGCAGGGTGAAGTCCAGGGCAAAGGTCTGAAGGACACCACTGATGAAGGAAACCTCTCAATGCTTCTCTGAGGGCTCTGGGCGTGCCTATTCCCCAAGGTGATTGTGATGATTCTGGAAATGTTATCAGGAAAGTATTCCCTTACTATTGTACTGCTCCATTTTTTTTTAAATTTTTAATATTTATTTTTCAGTTTTCGGCGGACACAACATCTTTGTTTGTATGTGGTGCTGAGGATCGAACCCAGGCCGCACGCATGCCAGGCGAGCGCGCTACCCCTTGAGCCACATCTCCAGCCCATGTACTGCTCCATTTTTGTTATCTGGAATCAAAGATAACTTACTTAATAACATGGAGGAGAAAGGAACAAAATATTTGAATGATATTAAAGAGAATTTAAAGTCTATGGCAAAGACTACATAGAAATGCTCTTCATTTTGAAAAATCTATAAAATTAGGCTTTTTAAAAATATTCTCCAACTTTACTTTTGAAGCAAAGTTTTCTGCTTTGATTAAAGTTCCTCATTTTAAAATAGTCTGAAAATTTACGAGGCTGGCATTTTAGTTTAGCAAGATGAGATAGGGCAACATTTGTATTTTTAGCTGAATGCAGTAAATAAGGAAGAAGAGTTTATTTTACTTGTATGAATAATTAACTAAAATAAGAAATACATATTCAATGACCAGACAAAATAACTTCCTGAAATTATTCTCTGAGATAGGCTTGAATCTCTAGGACCCAGGGGTTGTACTTCCTAGGAAACTAGGTAGGAACAGTGATGAGGGCCACAACCAAGTTAAGATGGCGCCTGGCAGTATGCTAGGAGGAGTGGTTTGTGAGCCAACGCCCTGAGCCATTAAGATGATGAGGATTCCTTAATGACTGACTGCTGTGTCTAGATGATGTCAATTAAGTTAAGTTGTGTGTAATTAGTTGGGTATATGTACCTCTGCGGTCTGGCAGAGAAGCAGCTCCTGCCAACTTGGGGGCCTGCTACTTTGAGTTCTCAGTTCCTGCTGAGTTCACTCGCAATAAAGTAGTTCCTGCTTCAACCTTCAAGTTGCTTGTTACCTCTCGGTTATTTTGCCCAGCCAGACTTAGGCAGCCCAGCCAGACTATGGCAGAACAGCTTTTGTTCCAGTCATGCAGGAAAAAGCACCCCAAAATTGTTATTTTCAATTTCTCGACTTTCAACAAGAAGCCTGGCAATTTGCCATGTATAAACCTTAGCTCATCTGAACTTTGTAGGTTTTGGTATGTGGCTGATATGTAGGCTTCCATCAGGGATGTCCACCCGGGACCTGGCAACATCATAATCATCAGCACCCCTGGGCAGATACTTCACAAGTCATTTTAACATTGTTACCTACCTAGGAAAGCACATAATCTAAGACATATGATGTCAACCCAAATATAAAGGATACACAAGCCTATTTTAAATAACCCATTCAGTAAAATAAATAAGCATGTATATTCTTATTATGTTTATGTGAAAGAATAAAATACAAAAGTGGAAGGGCAAACAAAGGGAATTCATAAGAGTTACAGATTTAGGGGGCAGAGCCAGAAGGCAGCTGAGCAAGATCCTCCAGTGATGGTCGCCCCATGTGCTCACTGAGTTGAACAGCTATTCATGTACCAGACTATTTTCATAAGAGCTAAGGAAGCCAGGTAAGAGACCATAGTGCCTGCTTTTAGTAGTAACAAAACAAAAAGATAATTGACAAAGGCAGGAAGGGAGGAGTTGCCCATGATACTCTTCTCCCAACTCCAAGCAGCCCAGCTCAGAGTAAGACTACTCCCCCTTGGGTGGGAGACAGAATTAAATCTAGGCCTTAGACTTGAAGCTCAGTACCAGCCCACCACAGTGAAACTCAGTGTTGGGCCAACCCTACAACCTCTACCCCTAGAGAATCCTCATGGATTAAGCTATTGGAACTGTATAAGGCCAGGTGGCTGGCTCCCTCCTAATCTTCCCCCAACATTGGTCAGCAAAGCAGAGAGCAAGACTCCAGTACAAGGGAGCAGGACAGGATAGCTAGCACAGAGTTTTTTCTTAGAGCCCAATTCCAGGCCTGGTATGGTAAGACCCTGCATTCGGTAGAAACTGAAGGCCCTGTACATAGACTAGAGCTCACAAGCCAAGCCTCTAGACTGACAGACATCAGGTGGAGACATTCATGTTGGTGTGACAGACTCAAGTTTCAGCCTGCATCAGTTTTAGAGTTGGAGAGGACCTCGATACACCTGACCTCCTCCTGAGACTGTGCCCCTGTAGCTATGAAACTCAGTGTAAAAACCCAGCTTAGTGTCAGCTTTGGTAGCTGTAGAATTGTCCCAGCCACCTCTCCCCTATGTTTGGGTAACATAGCCCTCACCAAGTCAGTGCTCACAGATAGGTCTCTAGAGCTATCCTGGCACTAGGCAGAGAGAACTGTACCCAAAAGGACCGACTTATGCTTCGGCCTTTACCATTAACAGCTGTAGTATGGGCCTTGGTTCACCCCAAAGGTTGTACAGGTTCTTATAGCTGTAAGACGCAGGCATGATCCGGCATAGCATCAGCCTAGGTGGCCAATGGAATGCTTTCTCCAACACTAGCCTGACTTTGGGCAGCCTTTCATCATCCAAGACCCCATTTGCTGCATATAAGACATGGTAGTAAGCATGAGAACTCACTGTTTCAATGATGAAAAATAACACTGGAAAGATCCTAATGGTTTCCATCTCTAGGCCTGCTTGTGGATGAAGCATCATCCTGCTTGTGGAATAGCATCAGTGTCAGGGGAAGATATATCCACTTCTCCTTGGTCTATTGGAGTTTTATATTCCAGCTAAAATCACCTGTAATCAATTGTTAGCAGTCCTGTGTTTCAAGTTCAACGTGGCAATAGGCAACTCATAGCTGCCTGGACCTTGGTCCTGTCCCAGTGTTGTGCTGATCTTGGTGGGCTGTGGGCTCAGGATGTGACATAGTTTGGTGCCATTGGTGACATAAGTATGACATAGGAGCCTGGGAGTGGTTCATCTATAATCATTGGGCCCAGAGCTGGGAAGAATTTCTCAGTGTGTGAAAACAGGCTTGTAACTATGGATGATAGAGCTAGGTCTATCCAGAAGCTAGGAAGAGACTTGTGGCGACAGTCCACTCTTACTAGGTGGTCTCCTGCTTCTTTATGAACATGGACACACAGGCAGTGTATTTGGGCAAACCTGGGCTTGAATTGCCCTCTAGCACTGAAATAGTGACAGCACACCAGTGGCAGACTCCCAGCAAATTCTGGAGGTGGGATTATTCATTGCTGAAATAGATGGTAGGAAAATAAGCAGCCTGCTTAGAGTTTCTATAAAGACAGACACCAAAAATGCCAGATTAGGAAAACTAGAATGATTACCTAATCCTTCAATGCTCAGATGATGTTGCATGCCAACAAGCACCAAGAGCTTTCAGGACGTCATAACCTTAGCGAATAATCAAAAGAGGTACCAGAAGCTGACTAAATAGTAATCAGAATGGAAGTACTTGCAGAGAATTTAAAATAGCTATTTCAGGAAACTCAATAACTTAAAACAGCAAAACATTTCAATAATTTAATGGAGAAATTTAATGAAGAGATTGAAGCAGTTAAAAAAATCAAAGTATTAAGCTGAAAAAAACACTTAATGAAATTGAAAATCTGATAGAAGGTATCAACAACAAGGTAGATCAAACAGAAAAAAGAATCAGTGAATTTGAAAACAGGCTATTTGAAATTTTACAGTCAGAGAAAAAAGAATGAAGAAGAGTGAAGAAACTTATGGGAATTTGAGAACATTGTTAAAAGAAAAAAGAGTTGAGAATGCCAATGGGGTAGAACATTTATTCAAGGAAATAACAACAGAAAACTTCTCAGATACAACAACCAGGTGCAGGAAGGTCAAAGGTCTTCAGTCAAATTTAAATCAGCTCTCTTCCCCAATATATCTCATAATCAAGCTTTAAAAGATGAAAGATAAAGAGGAGATTCTCAAGTCTGCAAGAGAAAAGAAACAGATAACAAACAGGCATGTCCTGATTTGACTCATAGTCGACTTCTGAGCAGAAATCTTTTAAGCCAGGAAAAAGTGGATTGAGACTTCTACAGTAGAGTGAATGAAACTGTCAATTGTGAATATTTTACCCAGCAAAAGTATCATTCGGAAATGAAGCATGAAGCAGAGATAAAGACATTCCCAGATAAACAAAAACTGATAGAACATATCTCCACCAGATCTGTTGCACAAGAAATTCTAAGGGAAGTTTTTCTTTTCTTTCTTTCTTCTTTTTTGGTACTGGGGATTAAACAGCTTCATACCTTTTTAATATTTTATTTTGAGACAGGTCTCATTAAGTTGTTTAGAGCCTCACTAAGTTCTGAGGCTGATCTTGAACTTGTGATCCTTATGCTTCAACCTCCCAAGTTGCTCGGGTTACAGGTATGCACCACTATGACCAGCTAGAGGAAGTTTTCAAACTGAAAGAAAGTGACATTAATAAGTAAGAAGAAAATATGAAAAGTATAGAACTCAAACTCACTGGTAACAGTAAGTATACAAACAATTTCAGAATGCTTTAATATTGTAAGCATTGTGCATGAACCATTCACATCTTCAGTATGAGCACTAAAAGAATTAAAATAATAAGTACACTAATATTTTAAGATATCAATAATATAGAAAGATGTAAAATGAAATGTCTAAAATTCAAAATGTGGCAGAATGGAGTGAGTGCAAGTGCAGAGTTTTCTTTTCCTTTCTTCTTTTTGATTCGAGGGATTGAACTCAGTGGTGCTTAACCACTGAGTCACATCCCTAGTCCTTTTTATATTTTGAGACAGGCTCTCACTGAGCAGCTTTCGGAACTTGCTAGGTTGCTGAGTCTGGCTTTGAACTTGCAATCCTCCTGCCTCAGTTGACCAAACTTCTGGAATTACAGGCATGTGCTGTCACTGTGCCTGGCCAGAGTTTTCTTAATAGTGTATTTCTCTTGTTCTTTCGTTTGTTTCTGTAACTACCATTATGATTATGTTAAGTTGCCATCGTTTCAAAATAGCTTGTGGTAATCAAAAGATGTTTTTGTAAGCCTTGTAGTACACATAAAGCAAAAATCTATAATAGATAAACCACAATAAATAAGCAGGGAAATCAAAACACACTACCAGAGCAAATCACTTAGCCAAAAAAGATGACTGTAATAGAGGGAGGGAGGGAGGAAGGAAGGAAGGAAGGAAGGAAGGAAGGAAGGAAGGAAGGAAGGAAGGATTTACAACAAAACTAGAGAACAGGTTTCATAATGACAGCAGTAAGATCTTACCTATCGATTATTACTTTTAATGTAAATGGATTAAGTTCTTCATTTAAAAGATGTAGAGTAACTGAATGGCTTAAAACAAAACAAAACAAACAAACAAAAAACAAGACCCAACTATATTGCCTACAAGAAACTCATTTCACCTATAAGGACACATATAGACACACATAGTAAAGGCATCAGATAGAGACATGTAAAGAGCTGGAATAAGATATTACATGCAAATGGAATCTAAAAGAAAGCAGGAGTAACTATATTTATTTCAGATAAATAAATTTTAAATAAAAAAGGAAAAAGATAAGAGAATCACTATATAATGATATAGGGGTCAATTTAGCAAGAAGAAATAGAATTTTAAATATATATGCACATGATATCAGAGCTCCCAAATACATAAAGTAAGAATTTATAGACCTAAAAGGAGAAGTAAACTTTAATACAATAGTTTTATAAAATAATCATAAAGTGAAGAGATAGCCTCCAGCAAAGAAGAAATATTTGCAAACTGATAAGGGCTTGATATCCATAATGTATAAGGAACTTCAAAAACTTGAGGAAAAAGAATCTGATTTAAAAATGTGCAATAGCTGGGAACAGTGGTGCATACCTATAATCCCATTGGATTGGGAGGCTGAGGCAGGAGGATCATGGCTTCAAAGGCAACTTCAGCAAAGGTGAGGTGCTTAGCAACTCAGGGAGACCCTGTCTCTAAATAAAATACACAATAGGGATGAGAATGTGGCTCAGTGGATGAGTGCCCCTGAAATCAATCCCTGGTACCAAAAAAAAAAAAAAAAGAGAGAAAGAAAAAAAGAAAGAAACAAAGAAACAAAGAAACAAAGAAAGAAAGAAAAAGTGCAATAGGCAATAAGTAAAATCAAGAATCAATAAATGGGATGACATCAAACTAAAAAGCCTCTTTATAGCAAAGGAAACAATCAAGAATGTGAAGAGAGAGAAATGGGAGAAAATCTTTGCCATCTGCACTTCAGATACATCATTAATCTCCAGGATATATAAAGAACTCACAAAACGTAACACCCAAAATACAAATAACCCAATCAATAAATGGACTAAGGAACTGAACAGACCTTGCATGGAAGAAATACAAATAGTCAACAAATAGATGAAAAAATGTTCAACATCACTCACAATTAGAGAAATGCAAATTAAAACTACACTGAGATTTCATCTCACTCCATTCAGAATGGCAATTACCAACAATACAAGTACAATAAATGTTGGCAAGGATGTGGGGGAAAAGGTACACTCATACATGTTGGTGGGACTGCAATTTGGTGCAATCACTATGAAAACAGTATGGAGATTCCTCAGAAAACTTGGAATGGAACCACCATTTGACCCAGCTATCCTGGTCCTTGGTTTATACCCAAAGGACTTAAAATCAGTTTAGTACAGCGATGCTACCATATCAATGTTTATAGCAGCTCAATTCACACTATCTAAACTATGGGACCAGGTAAGTGCCCTTCAACAGATGAATGGATAAAGAAAATGTGATACATATAAACTATGGAATATTACCCAGTCATAAAGAAGAATGAAATTATGGCATTTGCCAGTAAAATGGATGGACCTGGAGACTATCATGCTAAGTGAAATTATCCAATCCCCCCAAAACAAAAGCCAAATATACTCTCTGATATGTGGATGCTGACTCACAACAGGCTTGGGGGTGGGAAGGCAGGAAGATTGGGGGGAAGAGAAAAAAAACATAAAATGTATATACTAATGGGGTACCATTTCATGTTTTAATACATGGATGCATTGAATAATGGCTAAATCAGATTAAACAAAATTAATCTCCTGGAACATTTATCAATTCTCTACAGTGAAAATGTTCATAACCCTTTCTTCTAGCTTTTTGAAATGTACATTATTGTTATTTATAGTCACCCTACTGTGCAATGATAGCACACCAGACCTTCTTGTTACTATCTTACTGTGACTTAGAACCTGCTGGTCAACCTTCCCTACCCTCCTAACCCCCTGCTCTCTCCGGTCTCTGGTCACCACCATGCTACTTTGAACTTCTGTGGTGCAACATTAGTGAGATCACGTGGTACTTGTCTTCCTGTGCCTGGCTTATTTTACATCGCATAATGATCTCCAGTTCCATCATGTTGTCACAAATGACAGGATTTCATCCTTTTCATAGCCGAATGTATCCATTATGTGCATGTACTGAATTTTCTTGATCCATTCATTCACACAAACGCTTAGGTTGTTTCCATTTCTGGGCGGCTGCAGTGAACATGGGCGTGCTGATGTCTCTTTGGCATATCAATGTCTCTTTGGCATACTAATTTCAATTCCTGTGAATACCAGTAGTGGGATTGCTGGATCATTTGGTACTTCTATTTTCAACTTTTTGAGGAACCTCTGTACTGTTTTTCAGAATGACTGAACTATTTTACATTCCCAAAAATAGTGTGCAAGGGTTCCCTTTCTTCACATCCTAACAAGCACTTGTCTTTTTGATGTTAGCCATTCTTATTGGGGTGAGGTGATATCTAATTGTGATTTTAAATTGCATTTCCCTGATGATTAGTGATGAACATTTTTTGCATGCACCTGTTTCCCATCTTTATGTCTTCCTTTGAGAAGTGTCTATCTAGTGTACATTTTAAAAAATGTTTTTATGTGTTCTTTTTAGTTGTATATGACTATAGAATGTATTTTGACATGTCATGCATATGTGGAGTATAACTTCTCATTTTTTTTTTAGTTGTACATGGTGTGGAGTTATACTGGTTGTGTATTCACATAGGAACATAGGAAAGTTATGTTCAATTCATTCAATTCATTCTACTATATTCTCCATTCCCATCTCCCTTCTCTTCCCCTCCCCCCCAATCTTCCTTCCTTCCCACCCCCAAACCTATTGTGGGTTAGCTTCCACATATCAGCTAAAACATTTGACCTTTGGTTTTTTGGGACTGGCTTATTTCACTTAGCATGATAGTCTCCAGGTCCATCCATTTACTTGCAAATATTATAAAGTCATTCTTGTTTATGGCTGAGTAATACTCCATTGTGTGTGTGTGTGTGTGTGTGTGTGTGTGTGTGTGTAAAACCACATTTTCTTTATCCATTCTCCTGTTGAAGGGCATCTAAGTTGGTTCCATAGTTTAGCTATTGTGTATTAAGCTGCTATAAATATGGGTGTGGCCGTGTCATTGCAGTATGCTGATTTAAAATCTTTTGTGTATCAACCAAGAAGAATTGAGATAACTGGGTCAAATGATGGTTTCATTCCAGATTTTCTGAGGAGTCTTTATTCTGCTTTCCAGAGTGGTTGCACCAGTTTGCAGTCTCACCAGCAAGGTATGAGTGTACCTTTTCCCTTGCATGCTTGCCAACATTTATTGTTACTTATATTCTTGATAATTGCCATTCTGACTAGAGAGGAAATCTCAGTGTAGTTTTAATTTGCATTTCTCTAATTGCTAGAACATAATTGAACATTTTTTTGGATATGTTTGTTGACCCATTTGTAGTTCTTCTGTGAACGGTCCAGTTTCTTTGCCCATTTATCAATTGGTTATCATTATTTTTATTAATTCTCCTGGCTAGGTGTGGTAGGCAGAATTCTAAGTGGTCCCTAAGATTCCATGTTCCCGAATCCCTATAACATGTGAATGTGTCGTGTTCTAGAGCACAGTCAGCCTTTTAAATTAAGTGTGTGCAGGTAGGTCTAATCTAATCACAGGAGCCCTTGGAGGCAGAGAGATTTCTCCTGTTGGTGGCAGAAGAGAAAGGCAGAGAGCTTCCAGGCAGGAGAAGGATTTCATTTGCTGCTATTGACTTTAAAGACAGAGGAGAACACATGATGAGAAATGAGGGTGGTCTCTAGGAACTGAGAGTGGCCTTTGGCTGACAGCCAGTGAGGAAATGGAGAGCTGGGTCCTGCACTTAAAGGAACTGGATTCTACAACAATCTGAGTGCACTTGGCAGCAGATTCTTTCCTAGATCCTCCAGATAAGAGCTGAGCCCAGCTGACACTTGTATTCTAAGTGGAAACCCAGCCAAGACCACCAGACTTCTGTTCTACAGAACTGGGGGGAAATAAATGGATGTTGTCGTAAGCTGCAAAGCTTGTGGCAGTTTGTCACACAAGGATAAATATGCTATCTGTCTTGTCCATGCATATGGAACTTCTGGAATAAATAAACCCCATCAAAGCTTTTACTACAAATTTCCACTATCCTGTGGATTTACGTTTTGTTCCACTTGTCCATGTGCATACGTTCTAGTTTGTTGGACCCAGGAATATGGAATATGGTTGGAATGTTACTGCTGATAACCACGTATCAGCTGGTATAGGATTTAGCTCCATGAATGCTGAAGTGACACTCATCAGATGCTCTGTGCAGTGAAATCACTCCTGACAAGTAAGATTTACCTCAACGGTCACTCACTCCTCACAATTCTTTTCATTTAATGGGATAAACAAAAATGCACCACGGCTTGTTAAGACTGCATGTTGCAGATGGAAAAAAAAAATCCTTTGATTCTAGCATCAGCCAAATTTTCAAAAGGTTACAGAGGAATGTAGCATTAGTTGCTAATACACTTAGACAAATGTTAGGGAGTTATATGCTCTTACATATACATGAGGGAATTTGCCATTTGGATAGTCTTGGTGTTATGAAGAGGCAAAGCAGACTAAATCTGGAAGGTTGTCTCACCCTCCCTGTGGAACTGGGACTCTGAAGTACCTCCTGATCATACCTTTGAAAAACAATATAGAACAGGAAAAACAGTCTACTTTATGTTTTAATTTTTTAAATTTCCTGGTTATAGGTGTGCAAATAGGGACATCAGGGTAATAGGTTGGCATTGCCCTTAAATGTGCTCAGAAGGGCGCAGCCTCCATCCACTGTGTATAACCAAGTCGGACCAATCATGAGCTGCTTTCTTTTTTTTTAAACTAAAAAATAAATATGCTATTATCTCTAAAATAAGGAAGATGGGTCATCATGAGAATTAAATGGCAAGTATATTGAGAACTGTTAGCATTGTGCCTTGCAGTTGTAAGTGCTCCATGGAGCTGCTTATTTTTTTGCTTCTCTGAAGAAGGCATGGAACCTGTGAGCACACAGGTTCATTTCTAATAGGGCTCTTGCTTCTTAAGATTCACTTCCTTTTGCTTCCACTCAGCAATGGTGGAACAGCTCCAGGGTTTCAGGACCCTCTGAAGCTGGAGGCTTGTTAACAGAGTTAAAATGTGCCAACTGCTTTCAAATACAGCACATCTCAAGAGCAGTGCTGAGAAGTGATCCTGATAAGTTGGTGTCAATCCATACACATAATCTTATATTTGAACATACTCCATTTTCAAGTCTGTTTTACCCTCTGGAGCTCTTTCTACTTCTAGGAGACTAAATCAGTTATAAAACAGGCACTGTGGAGAAGTGCAGAATTATATGGCAAGGTTTTGTGGATAACTAAGACCCATATAAAATTTTATAGTTTATAAATGCTTCCTTAGCAATAATCAGAACAGCCTTTGAAAGTTATAATACAATACCATTATTATCTCCATTATGTGAGTGATGACATTAAGATTCAGAAAGGCAGAATGAGTTGCCTGAAGTCATTCTTTAAGTTCCTAAGGAATAAAATTTCTATTTTTTTCTCTATGTAAGAATATAGGGTAACTGACTCCCAGGGAATTTGTAAAAATATTTTTTAGATGTATATGGACATAATACCTTTATTTTATCTATTTATTTTTTATGTAGTGCTGAGGATTGAACGCAGTGCCTCACATGTGCTAGGCGAGCACTCTGCCACTGAGCCATAACTCCAGCTTTCCCAGAAAATTTTGATATACTTCATCAGGAGAAGGTGGATTTGTTCTTTTATTCCACCAAGAGACCAACTTAGAGATTATCACTAATGAAATGATTTATAGCCATCTAAATTCATTTTCAAGACAGGTACATTAAGAAATGAAAACATCACACCTTTAGCATGTTTTGCAGTGAGAGTGTAGTTAAGGAATCATTGACTTATTTGTGACATTTGGAACCCGGCTGCAGATTTCCAAATGGCTCTATTTTTCCCTTACTCGTTCAGGATGAATCTGTAGAGAAAAGAGAGATGCCTTCCGAAGTTTCTTTCATTTCCAGTTGCATGTCTGTGGCCATGGAAAAACTTCTTGCATATAAAATCAAAGAGCTACAAAAAGTTCTGAACCGTATTTACTGAGAAGCCCATCTATAACATCTCCATAATTTCAGAGTTTTGAAGCTACTTCCAAACAAGTATGTCTCTTGATCTTTTTTCCCTTCTTCAATATTTGAAACTGATGAAATCTTGGTAATAAAACCACTAAAGGCAATGTTACAGCTATTGTGGGGGATGAGGGAAGGCTGGAAGAAGTCTTCAACGAAGCCCCAAGAGAGTGTAACTTCAGGAAAGAACAATCTTACTCTCTTTTCTTGGTAATATTGTTAGAAATTATAGATTGGCTATGTGTCCAAGATTGTCAGGTCTTCTTCCCATCTCACCAATTGCTAAGTATTGCTTTTCTTACTACAGATATCTTCCGAGTTGCTATCCAGGCACTGTGTTTTCTGTGGTTCTCAAAGCCCGGGGCCTTTGGTGGTTACCAGCCATTTGCCATAAGTTGACCTTACATTAATACACATATTTTGATTTTTGCAATAATAATAGTTCCACATGTTTAATTGTGTAGTAACTTAGAACGAATTTGCTGATACTGTGCCAGTAGATTTTCTGCCTAAAGACATTGATATTTGGGTAACTGAACATAGTAGATGACTTTGAAAAGAATCGATCACCCGAGGAAAGCACAGGTCTTTGAGCTAAGCATGGAGAGCCCAATTACCTCCTTTTGTCAGGGTTGGGAAGGGTGTAGATTGATCCCAGAATATTCTGCTGGGTAGGTTAATAAATTGGTGCACAGAGGCAGCTGTAGATGAGATGAGCTGGGATAGGGGCCATTTTCATTTTCCGTGGGGAAATGAAGAGAGAAACTGAGCCATCAGGAGACATTCTATTCCTTGGCTCTTTTTTCTTGGCTTGTTGCATATTTTTGTTATTGGAGCACCTGAGTTAAGAAGAGGTTTGGGTCCTTAATATATGATTTTAAGAAGAAATGTCCCAGGTATTATTCTGGGGGCTAGTGAGGATAAGTGAGCTGCTTGAGGAGTGTCAAATGTCAGTCAGAAGAACTGAGCATCCAGTGAGGCAAGAGGAGGAGGTAAGACTTGCTCATGTGGACCCAAGGCCAGGGAGTTGCCTCTCTGACTGATCCAGATGGTGCATGCATAGGAACCTACTCTGTTGTTCCAAAGAGGGATTAAGCGCACCAAGAACATTTAAACTGACAGCAGTGAGTGGGCCAGCCATCTTCCCCCAGGATGTAGTGAGAGGTGCCCGTGCTGAGAACTAGCCTATAATCAATCACCTTCCCCTACTCTCCTCTTAGGCCAATGCCCTAGGTTATTGTGAGTTGAGTAGGGAGAATTGGGAGACAAAAAAAGTGCAATTCTTGTGGTGGAAGTTGTTCTTTCTGTGCTATTCTTTCTTATGCCATCATCTCCCAAGATAAGGAAAGGGGATCTGAAGATAATTGACCCTGAAAATCTGCTGAAGCTGGATAGGGGAAGAGGTATATGAGCTCTTCTACCCCTAACAGAGTCAGAAGTGAAGGATCTCTTAGACCTACTGAGTGCTCATTGCTGCTGGGACATAGAGATCAGCCAGTAAAGAGATGAGGGAGCAAGTAGCACGATCACGGTGGGACTCCCACCACGTAAGGTGGCCTTATGTGGGAGTGGACTAGACACCCCAAGATGGAGCCAGGCTACCTTCTGGGAAAAGCATTCCCTGCAACAGGGGCTGTGGACTGATAGCCAGCGGTGGGAGCTAAAAGTGGGTTTTATCAGAGCCCCTTGCCCCATCTGGGAACCTTGCTGTGGAAAGGCCAGCCCTGTAAAAATAATTCCTGACATGGTCTTCAGAAGACCATTGTGTGTTCCTGACACATAAACCACAACAAAAACCATGTCTCTAGGTCAGATAAACAGTTAACAACAACAGAAAGAACCACAACTGCGGCCTGAACCCAGGCAGGAGGTGTTGGCGCCTTTTCTTACTTAGTTTTGTTTGGTTCCCTCTGTCCAAACACTGGAGGAGGCAGCAGACAGAGAGGAGGGAGGAGGCCTGCAGGGCTGATCAAAACACCCCTCCCTGCCCTACCACACACATTCATCTACAATGAGCTTCCCTGAGCGAAGGGGAGAAAAGGTAAAAATCTTTGAATCCAGGAGCATCAAAGTTTTAAAAGCAAATAGTGCTGCGTCTTAAAGATGTTCAGACTGTTTGAATAGTTAAAAATCGCTGAAAATGTTCTTAAGGGAGTCAATTCACAGGGGGAAGGAAGAATACCCATAGTAATATTTGGAGACATTTATTTATAAGAAGAAAATATCTGTTTACACACACAACTGGGGCCAACATAACCGTGCAGATTCAGGGTGTGATGAATTCTATACACTGGGCAAAGGGGAATCTGATCGGGAAGGGAGGGAAAAAGAAATAACAATGAGGAAGGAAATAGATAAGAAGAGGGAGGAAGTATGGCCCTTTATCTGCTTCTGCCAAGGAGAGGGCTGCTGAAACCTTGGAAGAGGGCAGCGTCCTGGATGGTGCCCATATGGAGAGGGCATCCTAAGTCGGCCGTGCTATGTCCAGTCATGAACTAATCAGCAAAACTGACACTGCTCCCGTCATCATTGTCCTTGACGTGTCCTTCTCTGGGTGGAGTCTGCACAGTGCCTTTCATCATCAGAGTTTTGAATCATTTTTACTTTCCTTCTCCGAACTGTGATTCCTTTGGCTAAAGTATTTTCACAGGAGCCATTTTCTAAGTCCCTCTTTTCTCTTCCTGTGCATAAGTGATCATCCGACTTCATGCCTTGAATGTGAGCAGCAGTGAGTCAACCAACACTACCTAACACATCTGCAAAAGAAAATATATTTTAAGAGTTTCCCTAGACACACAAATAGGTGGATTTTCTCATTTCTAGAAAACAGAATAAGAATAGAATTTTTTTTTCCACCAAGACTGAAAGGGTTTCTTTCTTTTCATTCTTTATAGTTGGTACCCAAAAAAGGAAGGCAATGTCTATGGTCATTTGCACAAAGGGCTGCCTCTGAGATTACCTGCTTTTCTCGATCAAGGAAATGTTATCTGCCTCCACACTTCCAACCTGGCCGGTTATCATCATCGAGTTTCCAGCACAAAATACCTTTAAGTGGAGTCTTACTCCAATCAACATGCACAGCGCCTGCCAACACAGCTGGAAGTTCTGCAAGTGCATCCTCTCTGGTTCTGAGAGGACTTTCTGAAAGACAGATTTTAGTCCCAGGTGAGTTAGATTTTATAGGAGACTGTAACTTCTGGAATTCCTAATAAAGACGAAGAAGCTGTTTTTAGTAGATGCTTTTAGAATGAACAATCCAGGGTCTTCTGCCAACATGAACTCTTAAAAGACCGTGCAGGTGCCTCGTAAATACCCAGGTTTAGCCAATGTCAGGAACACATTTATTGCTTTGATACTATTAATAATATAGACATTTACTATCTGTTATGACTTCATAGGAAAGCTTACAACAGAAACACTTAGATCACAGGATCTAAGAAAAGCTGACTTTGGGGTTATGCTTGGAAAAACAAAGCCCTGAGATGTACTCTAGGTTGTGGATTAGAGGCTATTTATAGAAATAAGAGATTTTTGCTTCTTTATGGCCAACAGTCTTACAGGAAATAACAAAAGCCAATATCTTTTAGATACACATATTTGAGTATTACGATGCTTTAAAACTTTTGTTTTCTAGATCCCCTTTTCATAAACCTTTTCTACCATCAGTGAAGGAAGGCACCTTCTCTGTAAAGGATAATAATAATGGAATGTTTGCAGTGAGTGACTACATTTTTCAAAGGGATTCTTTTTCATTCTTTACTTTTGGGAATTCTAGAAGAGTGTTTGCTTGTCCCTGTGCAGTCTTCCTCTGCAGAGGTCAGATGGCAGGTGAAGCCTGCAAGAGGGACCTGTGCAGCTCTCCAGTCACAATGAAAAGAATCAGTGTCACTCATCTGTATTTATTCAATTGTTCTGAATTCAGAAAATTACAAAATGGGCTAAGAAGTTTTTATTTTTAACGCCAAGTCTGTTAGTCAGCTTTCTATTACTATAACAAAATACTTGAGACAATAACTTATAAAGAAGAATGGCTCATTTTGGCTCACTGTTTTGGTTCATTATCAGCTGGGTCCATTGCTTTTGGGCCTACAAAAAGGCAGTGTTTCATGGCAAAGCTCCTCACCTCAAGGCCCAGGCATGAAAAAGAAAGGGGAATGGGCCAGGTCCCACAGTCGCCTTTGAGAGCACACTCATATGATCTGAAGACCTTCATCTCTTAAAGGTTTTTGCACTTCCCAATAGCACCAACCTGGAGACTAAGCTCTTGACACATGGGCCTTCAGGGAACATTTAAGATTGAAACTATAATGTTAAATTTCACTTTAATGGATGCAGGCATAAAATGGAAAAGAGGCCCTTTGTCATTAAGAGACCTTGATTAATCATGAAGGGAGTTTTCTCCCAAACCAGACATTCCCTGTACTCCTTTCTTTAGGACCTTGGGGACTTTTTCACCCCAGAGAAATGCCCAGTAGAGAGTTTGGTAGTGTGTGTGTAAAGGTGTGCCATTCTTAGGCAGCTCCATTTGTGGAAGGAGCACAGGTGGCATTTGAAGATCTGTAAACTGAGTTCCTCAAAACTGTATAAGACTCCTGAGCTTAACAAAGCCCAGTCACAGACCACCTACTTGTGCATCATTGTTACTGATTCCATGGGTCCTGGTGCCATCAGCATCAGACAAAGTACAACTGAGATGGGAACAATACTCTTTATTCTTCTTCCCCAGCGTAAATAAGGGAGGTGGCACATGGGGACAGAAATTCCAGGCTGACTGAAACAAAATATGAAGGTGTGCAGCTTTTATGGTATCTCCAGGGTAGGCAGAGACCTGGTCTTTTGTCACACGTAGAGGTGGGGTTTGGGTTGTGCCTTGCTCTTTTCATCATGCCTCTTCATGTGACATAGGTCTTAATATCCTCTTAAGTCTCCACCTCACGGTGTGATTTTTGCTATGTTAATAAAGATAACTATAAGTTACTTTAGTGACTATTCTTGCCACCTACAACTTGTCCCTTATTATCTGGGAGAATCCCTAATATTATTTTTAGAACAGGACAGACTATTGTCCTATTTCAGTGGGATTGAATTCAGTGACCTTGTCTCTCTTGACTCTGGCTTCTTGGCATTTCTTCTGGCCACATAGTCTCAGAAGGTTGAGCTGTTCCCAACCTGTCTCCAGTTGTGTTATCTTAGTTCCATAACCTTGAAGACTGGTCCTTTTTATAACTCCCAATGATACCACCAGTTATTGGTGACGCTTCCCCACATGTTGAAGTCTGAACATTAGAGAAGCACGCAGAGGCAAGCATATATAGCAGGGTTTATTTAAAAAGGGTAACATAGACTTCTCCCTGGAGGGAGAAGGGGCCATAGCTGGTGTCCTGGTATCCCAAGAAGCAGGTGTTATGCCCTTTTTATGTGTCCTAGGCTTCCTTTGTTCTCCTGCCTTCTTCCCCTGTCTTCCCAGGAATGCTGGGGGGCGGGGGCTGGCCAAAAGGTGCAAAACAGGTGGGCTGAAGGGGAAAGGGCAGGATGGTCAGCCCAGGACACATTATAACTCCCTGTAGGGAGGGGCAATTCCTGGGACAGGTTACCTTAGCAACAGTTTGGAGCAGGGGCAGGTTCTTGATAAGGATAGAGGAAGGGCTCTGAAGGAATTAATGTTTCAATCCCACAGGGGACAGTCTCCAACTGGCTAGACTCACTCAAAATTGTCCTCCTTGATCCAAACTGAGTTGATTTACCTATCTGTACTGACTGCCTATCTAATTCTGGCTTCACTAATTTTCTGGTATGTATGTTAACTCCATAAGACTGAGGGTTGAATTGGGTGTCACAATATCTTCCCTGATGTCTTATAACCTCAATACAGTTTTACAAGGCACCAGGAGAGTGACCAGGAAGTTACAAGGCTTGACCTATTGTTGGCATCCTTGTTACAGTGAGGTTAACTAATTACTTACTGGGCGAGTGATGACAACTTCAGGTTTCAGTGGTGTATGCTAAGTGTTTAACAACTGGCTCTATAGGGAGGAGGAAGCCCCGATTTAATGTTTCTTTTTTCCTATTTCTGTGGTGTAAATACTCCCACCATGGCCTATTTCAAGCTATAAGGTGATATAATCTTGCTTGCAAAATACCTGAAATCAACAATCAGCTCTCTGGCTCTCCTAAACTAGTCATGAGCCAGTTTCAGCCATCACTGAACCATGATTTATTAGTTACGTGGCTCTGATCTGAGTCAGCTGGAGAAGCAACAGGTTTTCAGTCCCCCAGGATTTTTCAGTATGCATGCTTACACTTAGATACTCAAAAAAGTCCAATATCTGTCTTCAGCTTTCCACCTGACACCTCCCTCAGTCCAGCTGTATCATTCTCTAGCTTTGTACCTAGGATGACTGATCTGCCCTTCCTTTCTGACAGTCCTAATTGGTTTTCCTTCAAGTGTGTGCAAACATGTAAACCTTCAGGGATCAAAATTATGTAATTGAACAAATGTCTATTTTTCAACACAACTTATGAAGCATATTTGTTCAGTTGGAATGTTTTATTCATTATCTCTGCATTGTTGTTTCATTTTGGGGGGAGTTTATAAAATGATATTTGAATTTAAAGATACCATTGTATTCAATGGGTCTTATCCTCTTGACTTGGATCTTCTTAGAAACAGACTCAGAGATAAAATTTGAAAGCTATAAATTTATTTGGGGGTGGTGGTGCTGTGAAAACCTGTAATGGAGCAAGGAAATGACACAGGGAGGCACAATAAAACAATAATGACAGAGGCAGCCAATAAAAGGGTGCATTAATAAGCCAGCTGCTCCAGTACATGACTAGATCTTACTCCTGCAGGAAAACTCTAGGAAATGGTGTAAACACTTGCCTCAGAACTTCTCTTCTTTTTTTTT